GTGTTAATTATGAGTAAAAAATCGGGTGTCCTAGCCCAGAACGATACGCCGTTCAGTCATGGTGCTGATTTGGGTAATGCTGAAGAGAAACACCTCTCTTGCTTTCTGTTTTTCCTCAACTTAGGTGTCTTTTATTTTGTAGATGGGAATTGAACGTTAAGTGCTTCTTGCTTAGTGGTGTCAGAGTGTTTCCCCAGCAGAGCGTGTCACTGGGACAGTGACATTGCTTAAAATCAACTGCTTTCACTCTGGGGCTTCTGCCCCTTTCTATCTGTGGAGATTGCACGCTCGCAGGCACGCTCTGCCCGCCAGCCGCCTGACGTGCCGCGGTTTCTGTGCTCAGGGGGAATTGCCGCAGGAGGCAGCGGAAAGGGACGGGGAGCGAAGCGCAAGCAGCAGGATGGAGGGACCACGGGGACGGCCAAGAAAACTAGAAGGTGAGAGGAAGGACGCCACGGGGGCGCAGCGGGGCGGCGTGCTGGGCACAGGGACGGCGTTGCTCTCAATGCCTGAAGCTGCCTCCCACCTGTCAGTGCCCTTGGAAGATCTGTGGGGAGTCACACCGTAACCCTGTGATGCTCTGGACAGGGCACGTGCTAGGAATGACCTGAAATCGAGGAGTACGTGCTCATGCCGAGGATGAGTACGTTCTCATTTCACCCAGGCCCTCGGGAGCGGGGCGGCGCGTGGGCGGTGAGAGGTTGTCCTGGGCTGACTCGTGACCGTTGCGAGATGCCAGCCCGCAGTTCTTGTGTCCCGCAGCGACCCGCTGTTCTCCGCCCAGCGCTTGCCGCCCCATGGTTACCCTCTGGAACACCCCTTCAATAAAGACGGGTATCGGTACATCTTGGCCGAGCCGGACCCCCACGCGCCTGACCCGGAGAAACTGGAGCTGGACTGCTGGGCAGGGAAGCCAATTCCTGGGGACCTCTACAGAGCCTGCCTGTACGAGCGAGTCCTCCTGGCACTGCACGACCGAGGTACGGAGCTGGCCAATCGCTCTTCTCGTGAGGGGGCACCTTCTCTTAATCCACCTTAGTGATTAGTTTCAGACCTGATCGCTTAAAGAGGTGCAAGTGTTCAATCTGCTTCTGTACGTTCGCTCCCCTTCTGTTGCCACTGCATGTGTCGTCTTCTCTCCTCTGCCACAGCTCCTCAGCTGAAGATTTCTGACGACAGACTGACCGTTATCGGTGAGAAGGGCTACTCCATGGTACGAGCCTCGCATGGAGTGCGGAAAGGAGCGTGGTACTTCGAAATATCTATGGATGAGATGCCTCCAGACACAGCTGCCAGATTAGGCTGGTCGCAGCCATTAGGTAAATAATTTTACCAAATGTTTCTTGGCTTTGATTTCCAACCGTTCCCTCTGTTCTTGAACGCAAAGTGAGGCACGTGGAGGTGCTCGTGCCGCGCTCTACGTGTTTGTGAAGAAACATTGGTTTCTGCAGGGAACCTCCAGGCACCTCTAGGGTACGACAAGTTCAGTTACTCCTGGCGCAGCAAAAAGGGAACAAAGTTTCACCAGTCGATAGGGAAACACTATTCATCTGGCTACGGGCAGGGAGATATCCTGGGATTTTACATCAGCCTTCCGGAAGAGACCGAGACTGCCAAGTCACTGCCTGACACTTACAAAGATAAGGTGAGGAGTGGGCTTCCCTGTCGAGATGGGTGAACAGAGGCAAACAGGTCGCTCTGGCCTCCCTTTTGCTCCTTTGGGTGCAGCCTTCCCATCCTGCCCCTGCGCTCCGCCGCGGTGCAGAGCGGAGAGGTCCAAAGCATTGACCTTGAGAAAAGAAAATACCCAGAACCATCCCGAGGTTCTGCAAGGGGAGACGGCGTGGGCTGCTGGGTGAGAATGCCCACATCTCTCTACACCTTCACTTCCCCTCCTGGTTCTCAGATATTGGAGACGTGTGAATCACGGGTACTCTGGCACGACAGGCACGCCCAGTCCGGAGCGGGGCTCCGCTAGCTCTGCCGGTCTTTAACGTGTCACTAAAGGCACTCGTTTCTCTGACTGATTTCTGAACTAGTGGTTTTCTAATATTTCAGGCTTTGATCAAATTCAAAAGCTACTTGTACTTCGAAGAGAAAGACTTTGTGGACAAAGCAGAGAAGAGCCTGAAGCAGGCACCTGGAAGCCAGGTGAGTGAAGGGTCAGTGGGTGGAGGATGCAGAACTCAGGAATAGCAGCAAGCCTGCTGCAACCTATTAACCACCTGCATTTAATGAGCACAAGGGGAGCCTGTTTGTCAGAAACCAGAACGCTTTTATTAAAGCACCAGTAAACCTGAACTTAGCAAACCAGCTGCACCTTGGCTTGTAAAGTTGTGCCCAGCCTCGGGTAAAGGTGCAGGTTAAGCTGCCTCTCGAGGGTTGCTCTGTACTCCAGCAGTAAGGTCATGAAAGTTAGCATCGCTGGGAAAAAACCTCTTCATCTTTCTTTTCAGATAATATTCTTCAAGAATGGTGCCAGCCAAGGAATTGCCTTTAAAGACATCTTTGAAGGAGTTTATTTTCCTGCCATTTCTTTGTACAAAGGCTGCACAGTGAGTAACGTAGCTCTGAGCGGTAACTGCCAAACCCGCTGTAGTTTTAGCAGCGCAGAGTGGGGCGCTCTGGGGCTGTGTCGAGCCAGTGAAGAGGAAAGATGGGAATTATTTAGTGTGGTGACTCTGGAGCTGTTCCCGTGTGTGATGTAGCTCCAGCAAACTGCTGAACGAACGCTCTCCTCGCAGGCCCAGGGTGTTTGTTTGGGTGGTCCTGCACAGGGTGCAGGTAGGAGTAGGAGAGGAATGAGG